TTTTCACGGAGCAGTGTTTGCGTGTCAAGGAACAGTGTTCCGTTTTGGTGGAGCGTTGACCTCTCGCGGCAAATCGTTTAATTTTAGCAGAAATCGTTTAATTTACGAATTTCTTTTGTTCTGTCGGGTTCTTTCATGTCTGCCGACCGGCCACGCTCTCGTCCGCGACAGGCCTACCTTATCGGCAGTGTAGTGGCGCGCACCAGCCAAAATTTACCTGAGTTCGGTCAGAGCGCTCACCCATGACGTACGTAGCCGTCGGCTACCGGTAGTCCGAATCGTAAATAGTACCGCTGTAACTGGTTCGTCATTTTCCATTGCATACATTTAAAGTGACATTTCTGTTACTAAACACACGATTAATCCTTTGTTCTACGCCACCAACATAAAGTGGGCGTTTTCCTTGTTTTACGAAACGTTTGTTTTATTGTACAACATGATCATCGATCCAATGTACCCAAAGTACGTGTTTTATTGTACAACATGATCAGCGAATCAATGCACCCCAAGAACGTGTTTTATTGTACAGTATGATCAAAAATACAAGTGAATCAAAATATCCGTAGTACGTGTTGTATTGTACAGTATGATTAAAATACAAGTGAATCAAACTACCCTTAGTACGTGTTTCATTGTACAGTATGATAAAAAAATTACAAGTGAATCAAACAATTCGTAGTACGTGTTATATTGTACAGTATGATTTAAATACAATTGTATCAAACTTCCCTTAGTACGTGTTTCATTGTACATCGGCATTATGTACATTTTTGTTTTTTGTTTTGAGGGGTCTCGTGGAGCAGTGAATAAACGTTTGAATGTGTTTGGTACTCTTTTACATGATGAGCCCCGGTAGCATACGGCTACTAAACGTATACACGTATACCCTGGCCAAATTCAAAAACATAAAAACTCACCTCATCACGTCTGCATTTTAGGCTCTTTGCAAAGACGTCATGTACATATCACCCTTTATTTATTCATGTATGTTCTCATCGAGATAATAATCTTACAGCCTCATGTATAATGGTGATTGTAATCGTTTTAGTTGTTGAACAATTATAACTAATACTATTATCATTACGTTGTAAAACGCGTTAAAGTGATTTTGCAAATTATATATGGCGCCATATAAATGTTGTATATTATTAAGTGGTGACGATATTGCTTAAGATATTTAAAGGTTATTGTTTGTTTTATATGTTTATAATATATATAAAGATTAACGCGTTTTACCTATAATGAGTGTTATGTTCTCTGATGTACAAGTGTTTTTGTATAAAACCGCGATTCCTGTATATCGACAAACTTTGTGGCGATTTACTAACGACGGGTCCGATAAATTATTTATTGTATGTTTTAAATCATCCAGACAATGAGTTAACATATGTCCGCCACTGACTTTCACTTCCTTTCCTACTTCAGTTTGTGTTGATACTGCACGATTCGTCTTTTCCTACCGATACAAGAACTGAGCTTTGTTGTCTGTTCCGAGCAAACTTTGAGAGTTTAGGTTACGTACGCACTAAAACATCACTATGTTCTTTTCAACTTGCAAGTAAAATAGTCGTGTTTGTACGTATATGGCTAGTCCTGGTTCACTATTTATTACACTAGTTCCCGGATATAATGGACATATAAATCATGATGAATTGAATGTAGGAGATAGTATTTGTTAAATAGCAAATCTGTGTTCCGGTATCTTCAGTCAATTTCTTTTTGTTTGAAAATATATTTTAGAATGTATGTACATGTATCTGTCTCAAGAAGGCAAGTCCCGTTTTTGTACTTTACATGTACTATATATATATTTGTACCGTTGACGTTTTAAACGTTCACTGAAGTAACGCATTATTCATAAATTGTGCAATTCCAATGATTATGAAATAAAGGGTATATTTTCTCTGCATTATTATCTTTTCTTTTGCTAAAATCTAGCTACTGCTTATATATATATGTAATCGGTATTTTACGATTGATGTTATATAAAATAGGTCACAAGAGTTAATGCTTGCATTATAATGCGGCTTTAAATAATCAATTTCGAATGACATGTTTATGTAGCTGACAGCTCATAACGGTACAATGTGTGATAATACGACTATTGTTTTCTTATCAATCTGCTGCAGACGACCAGTCTGGCGCGATTGCTTATGTCATTTCAAAATCACAAAGAAATTTTCGTAAACCAACTTCTAAACATGGAAATCATTTCCACACTTGCTTTCAAACTGAACACATCGATGCTATGATTGAACCCGAGGAAGACTACGCTCTCTGCTCGTGTCCAAAATGCCGTGGGAAATGTATTCCTGTGCGACTGCTGCTGAAGCACATCGATGGTCTACTACAAGCTGGCGCAGAGGTATTTAATTGAAAAGTTCATTCGGTATACATTTGGCAACCCATGATATAATTGTAATTGTTTCTTTCTACATCTTTCTTATTAAGTACTTTTTCCTGTATGTTATCGCGTATGATGGTGATCTCTCCAAAGTAAGTTATGGATGGTAGAGACGCAAAGGGGAGTTAACTCCAGAGTAACCCAATTCAAACAATAAATTGTATTGCAAAGTACTTAAGGTCATTGGAGTGTATTGATAAAAGGAAACGGGCAGTACATCCCTAGTTGAATAACCAATGTAGGGAGACAGCATCACAATTTCCGCAAATTCTAATGTTTAATATTAATTTGATGAATATTGTATGTTTATTATTGACAGAACAGTGTGTTCTCTCAATATTAAAGTATTTCAAAGCAATCCAGGCATTAATTCAGTGTTTTTTTAAACGATGAGTCACATGTGTCCATTTTTCTGTACTTCAGGAAACCGGCTACCTATTTCTCTACTGTGAATTTTTCAAGAACGATAACTCTTACCTGCAATTACTATGTGTATATGGTTTTATTATAAAATGTCAATTTTTATATCGTGTATAGAGAATTAATTTAACACAATTTCAGCATTTATTAAATTGATATACATTAATGCAATACTTATATATGTCAGTATCATTTTTATTGACATTATTTTGTAAAAAAAATTTTTTTTTTTTTTTTTTTCAAAATTCACTCCTTTTTACATAAATTTCCATTTAAAATCCTTAAAATTCTGACAACCTTTATTTTGTTTGTGGCAGAAAATTTTCGTTACTTTAAAGCAATATAACTACAAATTTGAAGAAATTCTACTGAGAAATGGTGACACAATCCTATTACCTTTATTGTCCTGTTTATGAATCTTCGATTCGGAGGGGGAAAAAAGAGAATTATAGTATATATCGAAGTCCATGGTAATAGTGAATATAGATTTCCATCCTTCACTGATTACATTTTTATCATCCATGTTATTTTTGTATGTCCATATGGTACAAATGAGGTCTTAATGAGGACAAGCATGCCATTTTAGTTCATTTAGATCAATTTCAATAAATATTAAAAATAAAAGTGAGGAATGAAATGAATGATTTAAAGTAGGGAACTTAATTGCTTGGATAAAGCTATATGGTCCCAGGTCAGAGATTTTAACACCTACAGGGAATACATTATAAAGTCCCATCGTATATCACAATTAAAATAGTTTTTTATTTCTTTACCAAACACAGAATACTTTATTAAATAAGAACTGTATGTAGGAGAACAGCATAGCTTGTCTATTAAAAATGATTTGTGTTAAAAGTACTAATCTTAGATAATTGATCAGGAACTAGAGCTACATTGTCAATGACAATGACACACTCACACTATCCCCTTAAAGTAATCCTAACACACACACACACACACACACACACACACACCCGGATGACCATATGCAAAAATAAATAACTGTCAAAGCAAAAAAATATTGAACTCATGGTTGTGTTATATTAGATGTGCTTAAAGACTAGAAAAGAAATTGACCCCCATATGACTCCAACCCTCTGGCCCAGTCCTTAGGGGTCAAACAGTGTAGAAAGAGTTAGTTTACCCCTTATCCCTCCCTTACGCCATATGTTAAAATCGTTTTAAAATGTAGAACTCATGATAATGGTTAATTTGATAGGCGAAAATATGTTGTTGTTTTTTTTATATTTGAAGCAACACCTTCTGTCCAATCCCCTAGGGGTTATATCACAAACAATCCGAAAGTGTTGTGCAATCCTCCATTCATCTACCACGGTTCAAGTTCTTCTTGAAACATTGTAGAAAAAGTTATTTTACCCTTTATTCCTTAAGTACACCCCTCCCCCCTGTTTTACTATATGTATAAATTACTGTAAAATATAGAACTCAGAAGAATGTTTGATTATGTATGATAAAAGACACTATATTTTTTAAATATTCAATCCCCATGATGTTGACTATTTGATAAGTTTAACATTTAAAGTGTTGTAATAATACCAAAGGATATGATACTAAACCAAGTTTAGAGGCAAAAAAAAAAAAAGACTGCGAAAAGCTAAGAGTACTGAATTGAACTTTATATGCAACTTTTTTTTAATTCATATGATTTCAATATCTTTTGCAGTGCGAAGCCTGGATGACGAAGTATATGACACCGATATCATCACCAGCGATGTTAAAGGTATATATTTCTCGTACAATAGATTTAATATTGCATGAAACACATTTTTTTTTGTTTTGCTTATAGCCTCTAATACTGGCATTTTTTAAACACTATTGTTTGAAAACAACCCTAATATATACCAAATTTTATTAAAATTGAACCATATCTACCCCATAGTCGCAAAGATGCATCAGAAAATGATCGCAATGCCTTTATACACACCTACATAATAAATTTAAAAGCAGCAGAATAATAATAATAATAATAAAAAAAGAAACAAAACAATAACAGCAAGTCACCAGACTTCGTTCGGGGTGACTAAGAATAATAATAAGTATCAGTAAAAACAATGATTAGCAGAAGATATATCGTCTAAATAGTGAATACTCTGCTTGTCCACAACACTGGTGTCATCTACTTTCGGCCATGATTTTATTGAGTTTGTGATGCCATGGCCCTTAAGAAACTTCACAAACACGTCTGGCTCTGTTTCCAAAACCTGAAACATAAATAGCAAATTGTATCACTGCATGTTTATCTAGAATCTTTAAAATCTTTCAGAGGAATAGAAATGGGGGGGGGGGGGGGGGATTGCATGGTTTAGAAGTGAAAATGTTATTGACCCCCCCCCCCCCCCCCCCAAAAAAAATCCCTAGAACTTTAAGCCAAAGGCAAACTTATACCACCTGTTCCTATATACTGAACTGTAAGCTAAAAGTTAACTAAGGTAAAGTATTGCAAAGCAATCCATAATGTGCCCCACCAGAATGATTTCTTTATCCTCTGAGCTGTACACTTATTTTAGCAGTTGTGTGACTGCATTGCATTGTTTACTTACAAGTGCAGCAAATAGTTGTGTTGTCGTCCTTTTCCCTCCTTTTACTTCAATCTCAAAAGCAATGAAGTTTCCAACTTGCAATCTAGACCAAACAAAAAAGAATCTCTTCAAGGAAAAGTCACAAACATTTTCTCTGCTACTGTCTACCTTTTATGCTATTAAAAGTGCAACTCTAAACTAGAAGTTTTGTTTTCGTGAACAAAACACATGTCTCCCTTAATTAGCCATTATTGTTTTCCTTGATCAAATAAAATGGAAGGTAACAGTACCATTAAAGTTTAAAAGGTAAAAATTAAAAGGTTGCACTTATTTGACCTTTGACCTTGATAATAAGGCGACAGCAACCTAATGACAGTACACTGCAAGATTCATAAATGTAACCTGTTATGGTTTAATAGTAGCAGACCAGAATATTTGGCCTTTGACCTTGAGGTCAATGTGACCTAATGACAGTGCATGGCACATTATGTGTGGGTGATGCAATAGTATAAATGCAACTTTTTTCATGACATCTTTAATCATTGGAAAGTTATGGCCCAGAAAAGATATTCCTAAAACGTGATGTATTGTACAGTATGATTAAAATACAAGTTAATCAATTATCCTTGGTACGTATTGTATTGACAGTATGGTTAAAATACGAGTGAATTAAACTACCCTTAGTAGCCAAAAAATGCTTGCTAGTCAGAATGGAACCATAGCACAAATGCAATGTTATAATCATTAAAATGAACGAAAATGCTGATTTTTACCTCCTATCTTCTTCATCATCAGCACTCGTCATTGATTGTGCCTCTTCCTCATCAAAGTTGGCTGCTCCTTCCTCTCCTGCTCCTATCTCCTCTCCTTCTCCTTCTGTCTCCTCTCCTGCTCCTATCTCCTCTCCTTCTCCTTCTGTCTCCTTTCCTGCTCCTTCTATCTCCTCTCCTGCCTCTCCTGCTCCTTCTGTCTCCTCTCCTGCTCCTATCTCCTCTCCTGCTCCTTCTGTCTCCTCTCCTGCTCCTTCCTCTCCTCCTCCTTCTGTCTCCTCTCCCTCCAAGTAAAAAGCTGGGTCTTCTAACATCTGGTTTGCAATTAATCTGAAAAATAAATATATATAATACAAGATGACTGTTTGACCGAGTTATGCAACAAATGGTTTGTATACATTAACTTCCAAACAAAGAAATCTTGTACACTTTTCCTTTCGACATTTCCAAGACGTCATGAAAATCTCAGTCAAATTTAAGACAAGTATTAAGACAAATAGATGTAGGTAGAATTTGAAATCAACGTGATATCGCAGTTAACACCATGAACAAATATTCTGAAAACCTTTGATAATGAAACATTAACCTTAACTATGTGGCAGCTTAAACCAGTAAATCACCTATAAGATTGACCATTGACATGCAATTACCTATAAGAAATTACATCTCATTCTATTTACATCTAATTAAGTGTAAACAACAACACCTTTGTAAAGTTGTTATGGCCTTGTCATTGTTGACCCCTTTACTATGTACCACCTAAGTTATTTGACAATTGTGACACACAACAATTAAAAAAAAAATGCCTTTACCTCTCATTCCTTTGGGTTTTTTTCCTCATTTTCATCTCAGCAGTTATGCTCTGAAATAACAATCAACACACATGGATCATTTATCAGAAACATATGTAGTTCAGCAGGGTGTTTTTTTGTGAACTGCAAATAACTAATAAAACTTAAATGCAATACATTACACTCTTCTAATGGGTTTAAAAGTTACAGATCATATCAATTACATTTCACTCAAAATTTTGCAGTTTTAGAGTTTTAACTCACAGTGACTTAATTATAATGCATTGCAGTGTTGTGGTGGTATATTTCAATTTCAAGTTCTTGAAGCACAACATCTTTGTATTAAATATGCCTCCCTCCTCTCAATTGGAACTCAAATCTTTCCATTTCAAGCTTCTTGCTTGTAAAAAATAACATACATATTGAACAAAAGGATATATGATGGTAATACATTTGACCTAAATTTGGTTTCCTACTCCAGCAATGTCTAAAGTTGTTATTTATGACAAAGTGGATTGAACAGGATTTGTTTCATTCATCAAATACAATCATGATATAAAACAAACCTCTTGAAATGATGCCAGAGGACACACATCTTCAACTGGCCAGATGATTGTATTTCCTTTCTGAAAACATTCATTAGAAAAAGTGACTTAAGTTATCTAATTTTTAAACATTTTTATTCTTACCCATCACCATTTTGGTGTCAATGGACCATCCGACAGGCATGCCCAAAACAAAAGGAAAGAAAACACCTACCTCCTTAATTTTTTTGGCATATATAAATAGCAGCAAACTATTTTTTATTTGGCTTTATCATAGGTGTTAAAACAAAGACAGTTCACTTTTAAAATTGTTTAAGCTTCTAACAGAGAAACAGACCTCCCATACATTAGTTGCCATTTTAATCTGCTCCATCATTCAATCACAATAATCAGTTATTCTAAATTTAAAGAGAAAATTAAACAGAAGTAAAACCACAAAGTAAAGACAGCAGAAATACCTTCATTTCTTTCCATGTCCGCCTTTCTTTCTCGTATGGCATCACTCTTACATTAGAAAATCGTCTTATCTTTGTCAGGACAAGTTTGTCTTTTTTAGATTCCTCGATTCCTGAAATTTAATTTTCAAAATGACACAATGCAACAAGTTTGAGTTCATATAAAAAGCATTAGCATTTGAAGTTGCAAAAACTTAACCAGCTTTACAGATAACATAACACTATATGCCCTGTTTATCTTGTCAGGGGCCATAAAAACGAATTGCATGCAATTGTACATTGCTTTTCTGAAGTATGATATCATAACTGCAAATTAGGGTATTAGGTTATTGTCTAATTTGCAGGATTAACCTCACCATAACAGCTTCCATTTTGTCACATTATTGACATATAAAAACTGGGTAAAGTATATGTGACATTTTGAGAAACATTCCTCATGAACTTTCTAAGAAAAAGTGCTAACAAACTTCAACCCTCAAAAATCAAACTGACCATTGATCTCCAAATTAAATATGTATAAAAAGGGACCTAAGGGAAAGTACAAATGTAGTTTGAGAAAGATTCCGCCATCAGTTATTGATAAATTATCCTTACCAAAATTGTTCTAGGACAATTGGAATATAAGCACACCAGCTCATAATAATTTGCTGGAAATTAAACATGACCAATTTATCTGAAGCTTTTTACATACCCGCTATATCCAAAGGATAACTAATGACTCTTCCTGTTGCAACAGCACTGTTGTTGCTGAACATGGACACATCGGAACTGTAAATAAGGCATTTTTAGGTCACCTGAGCTTTAGCTCAAGTGACCTATTGCTATCCGTTTTCGTCCGTCGTCGTCCGTCGTCCGTCGTCCGTCGTCCGTCGTCCGTCGTCCGTTAACATTTTACATTTCAAACTTAAAGTCAAGTTCTGCTGGGCCGATTGAACTGAAAGTTGGTAGGAATGATCGCCTCATGGTCCTGACAAAGTGTTGTTATTTTTCGGGTCGATCAGAAATCCAATATGGCCGCCACGGCCGCCATTTTGAAAACCTATTTCAAACTTAAAGTCAAGTTCTGCTGGACCGATTGAACTGAAAGTTGGTAGGAATGATCGCCTCATGGTCCTGACAAAGTGTTGTTATTTTTCGGGTCGATCAGAAATCCAATATGGCCGCCACGGCCGCCATTTTGAAAACCTATTTCAAACTTAAAGTCAAGTTCTGCTGGACCGATTGAACTGAAAGTTGGTAGGAATGATCGCCTCATGGTCCTGACAAAGTGTTGTTATTTTTCGGGTCGATCAGAAATCCAATATGGCCGCCACGGCCGCCATTTTGAAAACCTATTTCAAACTTAAAGTCAAGTTCTGCTGGACCGATTGAACTGAAAGTTGGTAGGAATGATCGCCTCATGGTCCTGACAAAGTGTTGTTATTTTTCGGGTCGATCAGAAATCCAATATGGCCGCCACGGCCGCCATTTTGAAAACCTATTTCAAACTTAAAGTCAAGTTCTGCTGGACCGATTGAACTGAAAGTTGGTAGGAATGATCGCCTCATGGTCCTGACAAAGTGTTGTTATTTTTCGGGTCGATCAGAAATCCAATATGGCCGCCACGGCCGCCATTTTGAAAACCTATTTCAAACTTAAAGTCAAGTTCTGCTGGACCGATTGAACTGAAAGTTGGTAGGAATGATCGCCTCATGGTCCTGACAAAGTGTTGTTATTTTTCGGGTCAATCAGAAATACAATTTGGCTGCCATGGCCGCTATTTTGCTACTAAGTTCTAATAGGCCGATCTCACTTAAAATTGGTCTAGGAATGATCAGCTCATGGTCCTGACAAAGTTAAGTTAACATTATACTATTTTTTACTCAAATTGGTACATATTTCAACAACAAAAATAAATACTGTAGACTCAGGTGACCGTTTAGGCCCATGGGCCTCTTGTTATTTTAAGTATTGAAATATAAATTGATATCAAGTATCGTTTGTTTTTTTCCATCATATTTTAGTTACAATCATAGGTTTTCCCACATTTCCGCAAAACGTTATT